GGCCCCTGTTTGGCACCAGAGATTAGAATAGATGGACCTGTTGTGTGATTCAGTCCAGCAATTCACCCATATTTCTTATAGCCCTGCATCTCTGAGTTGAGGTGCAGGTTCAGTAGTTTCCTCCTATCAAATTGGTGCCTAGATGTCACCCCTTGTTTCCATGGGATTGGTATCCAGACACCATTTTTTTTTTTTCTCAACTTCAGGATCAACACGCAGCTAATGCAGAGCTTAGCTGAAGCAAACATCAAAATGTTTGTCCTAACTGCCCCCAACCTCTAAAACCATTCAAGTGTCTCATCCCTGGTTCCATGTTTATTTTTATCATTCTGCTGCACCTTTCTCACATGCCCCCACGCACACACATTTATCTTCTGTTATCACGATTCACATTGTTTCGTAGTGATGTGACTTCATGAGAAAATAGGTGGAGCAGAGACTATGGGCATCTGTGGATTGGGGTTAGTAACAGAGGAGATATTCATGCATAGTTTTGATTTCCTGAGATCGCAGTTGTGACACAGATGTTTTATATTTAGGCTTGGCAGGATTCAATTTTTATTGGTAGACATCAATAAACAGATTTCACTGCACACTCAGATGGAAGGAAAAATACTTCCATCGGTAATCATCAAAATGTATAGAAAGGGAATGTAAGGGAGAAAAAAATCCAGGATGGGGGGTAAGGAAATGGGGGACAGGAGGTGCCACGTGTGTGTGCGCGCACACACACACACAGTAGCCACTGCAGGTGGGCTGGGAAGAGCCCTAGCTGCGAAATAATTTGTTTAAAAAAAAAAAAAAAAAATCAAATTCTGCCAAGTCTAATTATATTATTTGCATTACAGTAGCCCTTCAATTCCCCCTCATGTGAGGTGCTGGACACACAGAGAAGAGGTAGTTCTTGTCATCTAAGTAGACACTACAGAGAAAGGAAGTATTTTTACCCCCATTTCAGAGAGAGAACTATGACACAGAGACACAGCACCTTGAACAAGGTCATCCAAAGAGTCTATAAGAGAGCCAGGAGCTGAATCCAGATTGCCAATCTGGTGTTTTAACCACAGGCCAAATGTTGGAACCACATATGCCAGCCACTGCTCATTGAAATCAGACTGCCAGCATATTTAAAGACTTGTGCTTGGACATTTTGTTCAGATGTTGGCAGCCCTGACCCTATTGGGACATGAGTGGGGGAATACTGGCAGTGCCTCCTCCTGTGCTGCAGCTAAACTGAGGATTTCAGATGCTAAGGCTGTTATGCCAGCACTTAACTCATACCAAACAGAACCAGTCAACCTCACTGACAATAGCTGCACTGAAATGAACACAAGCTCAGTTTTGGAAAATTTCATTCCAGTCTTATGCAAATAATTGCGATGTAAATAATAGCATGGCATAGGACTTCTGCACTCTGACCTCCCTGCTTAACGCAAGTGAAAGCGGTACAAATTCAGTGGCATTACACAACTGCTGTAACAAGCCCATAAGCAGGATCTTTCTAGAAGGGAGAATGTTGCACAGGGCATATCCATGAACATCTTGCCCACTCTGACTTCCAGGAGGCTGCTGATACTCAAGTGCCCTGTCTCCTTAGTTGGGAGTTCACTAGAGGCACCACAGTCTCTTAGTTACAAGCTGAGAGACTACATTTTCTCTTCACCCCCATGAAAAAGCAAAGCCAAACTGGCTACGGCCCATTCACTAGGTCTTCATGTATGGTTATGAACCACCTCATCTCTCTGAAGTCATCCCTGGATTCTGCGATGTGCAGCTCCAGCTCTGGAGCTCAGTTTCTTGGCTGAGGCCCATTCTGTTATGTCAGGAAAGGCCAGGCCAGTTACCACCCTGGTGAAAGGCGAGTAGGGGTGCCTTAACCCCAGCCCTCACCTTCGGGTGGGCCATCAGAGCAGGGTAGGCCAGGTAAGCTTCTGGAGGCGCCTGAGCCTGCTGGGGGGAGTGACCTTGCAGGGCCAAGCATGCTTCTAGGAGCACCTGAGCCGGGAATGGGGGACTCCACCCCATAAGTGCAGGCAGAAGGTGAAAACCCTGCTGAGGTACTTGACTGGTGAATGCTGGGGCCAAGACCAAAGGGTCAAAAGAGCTTTTTTTTTTTTTTTCCAAAATGCCAGGAGCTGGGGTGGGCAGGGCAGCCATTGCCAGGGCTAGGGGAACGGGCAGGGGATGGGCCTGGCTTATTCAGAGATCCAGCAGCAGCCAAATCTCTGAATCAGATTTGGCCAAATTGATTCGGGAGTGATTTGAATCACTGTCCTCCGAATCCGAACCAAATTCTAGCCGCTCTGCACGGGCCTACTTTATATAGCATAAAGTTCCAGCTTCTCTTCCTGTTGCCTTTGTGCAACCCAGATTGGTTTATACACAGTGGAGCTCTGTGAGCTTATCATGTTTACCTAGGTGCACAGGGCTTACTAGCTCTTCTGATGCACTGCATGACAAGCAAGGCCATTATTGGGTGTAAAAACAGTAGCACCTTGGCTTGCTACCATGTGAATGTGCAGTACCTGAGCCAAAGGTCCTAATACCTACCTGTAGGTGGAGTACCCCCGTTAATACCTGGAATTCACACTATGGCTGTAACCAGGCAGGGGCATTTCTAGTGTTCATACACCAGGTGCAGGCAGACAGAGGTGGAGTATGCTAGGGAGAATACTGACTATTGTAGGAGGGATTCCCCACCTACCTAGCCTCTAGACAATGGACGGCTGCTCCTGGAGTGTTCCATACATTCCAGGATACATTAGCCCTTGCAAGCTAAATATTTGGTCTTTCCTGACTTCAAATACTTCCTGAGCTCCTGGGATTGTTATTTTCATATATTTGCCTTTGTTCCATTTGAGTAGAGGAGTGGGGTTTGTAGATAGGGACTCTATTCTTGGCAGATGGCAGAGTATTATTAACATTCCTTATCGTAGGAGTGTATATTATTGTGTGACATTGCACAGAGTAACCTTAAAATAAAAGACCTCCCCTGTTATTTGTTGACTGTTCTGAGCACTGTTTTGGCTGTTGGCTGTTCTGCAGTGCTTTGAGGGGGATTATCTACTGCTATTTCCACCTTTCTCCAAAATCCTGGTTACTCGCTTCTTAGAAAAGGATGCTTTTTCCAGCATATTTCTTGTGGCAAAGGGTCATGGTGTGACAGGGGCAGGGCACTGCCTGCCTCCCCGGCCCTGCTGGACAAGGCATTATCTCTAATTCAGCTTCCTGCTCCCTGCTTATGGGAAGGGGTGTATACATTGTCTACTTGGGAGCAAGAAAAGCAATTTGAAAATCACTTCTGAGAGAGTGCTCTGGGGCATCATTGTTGGCATCTCCTAATCAGCTGCATCCTCTTTATGACAAAAGTTAATATTTTCCCTGACTAGGGAGAAGACTGCACATGAGCTGCTGGGAAAATTTGCATGACTACATTGCAGATATCTCTGCAAAACCCTTCCATCAAACCTGGCTTCTGAAGATTGTTCTGTGGTACAACAAAGTTTGAGGCCTAATGATTTTCAGAGTTTCCCCCTGGGTTTTGGTGCATTTCACAAACTCCTAAACTTTGATTTAAAAATTGTCTATTTTTGCCCATCGCTACACAATTCACACGTTGTAGACCCTTCACCCAGTATTACGTAAAACTGTCTGGCCCAACAGCAGCAGCTCTTTCATTTTCACTCTGCCTAATTAAAGCTATTTCAAGGCTACTGTTAGTAAGGGAAAGCAATTTTTCTCTCTCGTTTGTAGAAATGCAGGGAAATGTGTTGTACTATTGCAAGAGCTGCACAAGTTAAGGCTCTGACAGCACTGTTATCTTTGCCACATTATATATTGCAGTATTGTCTGTTCCCATTTTCTGGGTCACTGTGTAGCTTGATATATTGCTAGTTATGCTCTAAATTGTGCATCCCAAAAAATGTAAGGAGTGCAAGTTGGCTGAGTCAACGGTGGTGATGGAAATCTTGAATTTTATATTTACTCAGTGTGCTCCTACTTGTGCAGCCAAAATGCTATGTTAACATTGGCTTTTCCATATTTTTAAATGTGTAGTTTGTAGTATTTCTATGACAATTGGGTCTTACTTCACACCGACTGACTAACTACAAAAGCTGAACTGTTCATCTCAGTTTCATTGCAGCCTGGCAAAATAACCTTACCTTAGACTATGGAGCAAAAGAGACAAATGAAGCCCCCCTTGCTCCCAACCTCCACCACCCAGCAGCAGCAAGCACTAAAGCTAAATGAACTTCCATCCTCAGGACCCATCATTTGATACTGGAGTAAATGATGTGAACAAATGGCAAGACATCATGCACTGCAGCTGGGAAGGATAATAGGAGAAGCTTCCATGGATCTTCGAGCATATCCAAGGTTTACCTTTTTTTCAGAAGTTGCACCAAGAGTGTGGTCAGTAAAACTGGCTGGAAAGCTTGTTTACACCCCTTTTCAATTATTATATTAAAACCCCCCATCATAACTGAGACTGTTTAGCTTTTCAGCAACTGAAAATATAACCATTTTGGCTGGTGAAACTATTTCCCCTGCAAAATTTAATTCAATTAGCTAATTTTTGTTCTTAGGTTTGTTTTTTTTGGGGGGGAGGTGTTTCTGGGTTGCCCAAAAACCCCAACAAATGTCACATATTTTGAATTTTTGATTGTAAAAAAAAAAAATAGTTAAGTTTTCACAAATAAAACCAAAAGTGGCATCAAAACCAGACTTTTTGCCTGGGTTCTTATCTTGGGAGTAGAAGGTGACATGGCATCACCAGGCTGTTGAATAGCCTGGCGAGGAACATAGGGCCAGGAGACAGCTATCTCCTGGCAGGGGCTGGGAGGTTGCTCCCTACCCTCAGAGGGGCTGCCTGCTACCAGGGTGGGTTTCACCACCAGACCCTGGGCAGGGACAACATCCCCCTGCCCTAGCATCAGGGAGCTCCTGGTCCTAGCTCTCTGACTGGGGACAGAGTACTTGGAAAGAGATGCAGAGGAGAGACAGGTCCCAGACCCCTGTCCCAACCCACCAGTGGGATAGCTAGCAGTGAGTCCTTGGCTGCAGCTCTTTCAAAGCCCTGCACCCTGATCACTAGATCAGGGCACAGGACTGGGATCTCCCCCTGCCTGAGACAGTTCTTAGCCCCTGCTCTGTGATCGTGGGCTGGGGGCTGGAAAGCCTGTTCCCAGCTCAGCTCCCTGATGATGGAGCTGGGCAGGGAACAGGCTCCCCACCTGTTCCCAGCCCCATCTCTGCAATTGCAATCACAGAGCTGCAGCTGGGAACACTCTCTGCGGCTCCTGCTTCATGATTGGGAAGCAGGGGCTGGGAGCTCCTTGCTGCCATGGCATGGGGACATTGCCCCACCCAGGCTCTGATGCCTTGGCAGCAAGCAGCTCCTGGGGGCAAGGAGCAATCTCCCACCCCTTACTGACCAGTGGACTAGGAGCAAGTTTGCTTCTAGTCGGCTCTCTACATGTGCCATATATCACAGTAAGTAATCGTGAGTAAATTTGCTACTTGTATTTACAGGTAGCAAATTTACTTGTGATTTAGAGCAAATTACTGCACAGTAAGCATTTGCACATGTAGACAGTGATGCTTGCTGCACAGTAATTTGCTCTAATCTCAAGTAAAGCATCTCATGTAGATGCTCCTAGTGTGTTACGAAAGTAGATGCATTAATGGATTTTCAGCTACTTAAACACAGTGAAATAGGATCTTACTTGGGCACCTATATTGTATATAGATCTATGTGCTATCTATCTGTATATCTGTGTGCTGGCTACAGTAAGGAGTGATTTGTTTTGGAAGCCCTACAGAGCTTGGCTTGCTGAATGCTTTCACATGTCCCTAAAAAGGTGGATTGTAAACTAAGAGCATCCACCAAGCTAGAGCTCTGGGATGGGTGTGTATCAATTACTATGGAGTCTGGCTGATCAGAATGGATCCTGAGACCTACAGCAGCTGGGCTGTAAGGTTTAATTTCTGTGACAGGCTAAAATCCAAAGAACTTGTGCTCTGGCTGTGTGCCAAAGATGGCAAGGAAAGAGTCACTGTTCTAACCTAATTAGACCAAGGGAAGCTTAGGAATGCATGGCTCCAGTGAGATGGGCCAAACAGCAGCCTGGGGAGTGCCCACCGGAGATGGATTGACCAGAGTTGTAGAAGATGGTGGTTTCAGCTGTGTTTGTCCAGAGAGGACATGACCTGAGGATGGCAGTCTGAGAACCTCAGATGGTATGTAACATCAGGCTTATCGTGCTTCCTTTGGCACTTCTGTGAAGAAATGTGGACAGACATGGGATTGGGAGTCATGACTGGTTGACCTGGAAGGAAAGAACATGGTCAGATTCTCTCTCGCTCTGAAAGACGGACTTAAATTGGGCCTCCATTGTGCATGTGGTACAGGCCTGCGGGTGTGACTGTGAGGCAGTAAATCAGGACCACAAACTGTGGGCTCAGAAATGCAAGGTGCTGTGTTGAGGATCTGGCTCTTTGCCTTCTGTCCCTAGGCAGGAACATAAGAACAGACTTACCCTGAGGACTTGTAGCTTCATGTCAACTGAAGCATCAGTAAAGGAGGTGAGGGTGTTCTCTCAGGGATGTGTAAATGTGAATCCTCATCAAATCACTGGGTGCCGTCATCTTCTCTAAGGGACAATCTCCACCAAGCTACCCCTTGGGCAATGCAGCTACCCACTGCCCAATTAGTCCACTGCTTATTCCTCCACATATAGGGGAGGGCTCCTACTCCTGAGAGAGCATACAGGGGTAGGAAGCTACCACAGAGATCTATAAGGAGCTCAGGGAGTATGTAGAAGGAGGCTGAAATTTGTTTGACCCTATAGTGTGACCTGGGGAGTCTCCTCAGGGAAACCTCTCCAACACCTTCCTCCTAAGGACCCTTCCAGGAAGGAGCAGGCCAATCCCATTTTTTCTCTTTCACACACATTATTGTTCCTTCTCCTCCAGCTGCTGGCGTGATTTAATGAAATTGTAATGCTGTGAATTTGGATCCTCTCCAATGGAAGAAGCAGCAGCTTGCCACCTCGGGGCAGGCAGGCTCCTGGAAAGCCAGGCACACAGCACCAATAACACATTTAACTTGACTCATAAGTCTCATGATGACAGGTTTAAAAGAAACACCACCTGGAATGAGCTCAGCACTAAGTAGAGGCCTGGCGGGCAGCCGCATGTGGACAGTCTGGCACTCTGGCAACACAGGGTGGCTGAGCTGTTCCCAGAGCCATGCTGTGATCCCTCAGGTGTCTGGTTTCAAGAGGCAGGTGGCATGCCCCATCCCAGCTGTGAAGCTGATTTCTGCAGAGGGAGGTTGGAGGAGCTTCTCCCCAGAACTCTGCTGGGGAAGGTTGAAGGAGCCACCTTTGGGAAGTAGCTGGGGAAGCTAGTTGGGAGGAGCTAAGTTCTTGCATCATCCAGGCTGGGGGAAAAACAGGCTAGAAATTACATTGAGCCAGAGCAGCCAGCATTGCTAGAGCCAGAGGAGGCTGACCCTCCAATTCTGTGACTCTCTCTGTTCCTGGGTGCATCCCTTGAAGTGGGCTTAGTCTAAAATTGCGATTTTTAAGGTACATTAAAGGTACCCTTAATGCACTTTAAAATGGTAAATTAAGGCTATGTGAGCCTAAATTTGATACCTTCATAAAGCAGGTATCAAATTTAGGTGTGAATAGCTAAGTCACATTAGTGCACATGTAGACATGCTAATATGCATTAACATTGTCAATGGATAGACACTGCATTAATGCACATTAGTGCATCTCCACATGCACTAATGTGACTTAGCTATTCATGCCTAAATTTAATGCTCCTTAATGTGCGTTAGCACATCCATGTGTTGATGCACACCTAAATCGCTTTAATGCACCATAAGTAAAGGTACATTAAGTTTAGGCACACATAAGTATACATATAGACATGCCCCCTGCCTCCTGCCCACCCATCTAGGACGTCCCTGGCTCCATATTGCTTGTTGAGGCCTTTGAGCAAATTTTCCCCTCCCATGAGCTCTACACACAAACCTC